GGATTAGAGTCATCTATAGAAGGAGTGTCCGTTGTTCACTGACACGATTAGAGTCATCTATAGAAGGAGTGTCCGTTGTTCACTGACACGATTAGAGTCATCTATAGAAGGAGTGTCCGTTGTTCACTGACAGGATTAGAGTCGTCTATAGAAGGAGTGTCCGTTGTTCACTGACAGGATTAGAGAGTCGTCTATAGAAGGAGTGTCCGTTGTTCACTGACAGGATTAGAGAGTCGTCTATAGAAGGAGTGTCCGTTGTTCACTGACAATGGATGGAGTGTTCATATTGAAGGCAATAACTCAAGAATTTCCACTTAGTGACTTTAAACGTTTCTCTGCTGTGGTCTTCATTAACATTTGCACCAAGAACATCCTGATATCAATTAAAATGCAGAAACCAGTGATCTGCACGACAGTCACACCAGTTTTTCCCACAAAGACCTAAATTCAAAACCCAACTCCCTCTAAAAAGTTCCCATAAAACTGAGAAATCCCAGGTCAGGAGCCCACAGCAAACTAACATTCGACCTTTTTTTACTCAAAGTATGTGTTCCTGAATCTCAAAGAAAAAGTTCCCCAACCAGGAGGGATTCTCCAAGGCCGGGCAAACAGTGACACGTCAATGAAGAAATGAGATGGGAAAACACATAGGAAATCTTCTTCTTCTTCTACACAGTTGAGTCATACTATCTACAATGAACAACACACATGGTAAATCTAATCATACAATGATTTGAACGAAGTGCTTTACAACTGTTCAAATTGTCTGAAATACTCATCAAAATAAAACTTTTCAATCAACAATGTGAAACTGAGAGAACTCCGTTCAAATCAAATACAGTAAAAATTGAGGATTGTAGAGAAAGCCCTTTAGTGTTCTGTTCTCATGTCAGAAGGAAGCCAAACGCGGAGCCCGTCTGCCGTACGGTGCTGGTGTGTCATAGCAACAGTCTATGGAGAATATATGTATATGGAGAATATATGTATATGTATATATATACAACCCAACCAATCATCAAAGATATTCATAGACCTCTTCCTAGTTCTGTACATAAATACAACACCATAGTGGCCCTGGGATAGGGAAACATTTGGGGCTACTCCCGCGTCCCCTCCCCCGC